CAAATAGAGTAATAAATATTATTTTCAAAATTATGTAAAAAAAAAGTACTACAAATCACAATAGCTAACAATTTAAAATATTTTTAAAATCGTATAAAAATTTCAATAACTTCTCAAATTCCATAATATAACACTTAAATACTACATATTATATATTAATTATACTATACTATAAATGACTTAAATACTCCATATTATCTATTACAATAATTAACAATTATTTCACACTTTAAATTCTATCAATGCCATATAAATTAGGATAAAAAACCTAACATATAATATTTAAATATATTTAAAAATACTATAAGTAATACTATACATTACAATAATTAACAGCTTAATTATTTAAAACTTATATAAAAAATTTAATTGACTCTCTAAATTCTATTGGTACCACATAACGTGGATTATATGATAAACATATATTGTTTGAAATTGACGAAAAAGAAACAATAAATTACAATAATTAATAAAAAAAATAGTCGACGAAATTGACGAAAAACAAATTATAAATTACAATAATTAACAAAATAAATCTCTCGACTCCAACAAATCTATCAATTAATGCCACATAAATTGGGACATGGCAAATAACATATATTATTAAAAAATTAGGTTCAAAATGTACCAATAAAATACAATAATTAACAACTTAATATATTAAAGAGACATATAAAAAAGGGTTAATATATGAAATTCTGCATCTGCCACATAAATTAGAACAAATAGATTAATAAATATTATTTTCAAAATTATATTAAAAAAAGTACTACAAATCACAATAGCTAACAATTTAAAATATTTTTAAAATCATATAAAAATTTCAATAACTTCTCAAATTCCATAATATGACATAAATTTAAAAAAAAGTGTTATAAATCATAATAAATAGTACAATATTTTAACTACTTTAAAAGTATTATAAATTGTAATAAATAATACAACAATTTAAATTACTTATTACTTAAAATTTAACGACTTAAAAATATTTTTTTAAATGTATTAAAATTTTGGTTAATTGTCAAAACTTTACATGTGCCACATAAATTGGGACATGGAGAGTCACACATATTTTTTTAAAAAAATTACATTAAAAGTATTCTATCAATTAACAACATATATTGTTTGAAATTGACGGAAAAAAATTATAAATTACAATAATTAACAAAATAAATCTCTCGACTCCAACAAATCTATCAATTAATGCCACATAAATTGGGACAAGGCAAATAACATATATTATTAAAAAATTAGGTTCAAAATGTACCAATAAAATACAATAATTAACAACTTAATATATTAAAGAGACATATAAAAAATGCTTAATATTTGAATTTTTGCGTGTGCCACATAAATTAGAACAAACAGAGTAATAAATATTTTTTCCAAAATTATGTTAAAAAAAAGTACTACAAATCACAATAGCTAAAAATTTAAAATATTTTTAAAATCATATAAAAATTTCAATAACTTCTCAAATTCCATAATATGACATAAATTAAAATAAAAAAATATATATATATTGGGCCCCGTGCTAGCACGGGGTCCTATATCTAGTAATGTTATAAGAGAGCTCATAAAATTCCATGAATATGCCCTTGGTGTGTGTATATATATATAAAGAGATAATGGTTAATTCATAGTAATTTTCTTGTACTTTTTTGAAAATTAAAATTTTAAAATATTGAGTTCGTCTAATCTAAATTAACTTTGAAGATTAGTCAATTTAATTTTTAGAAAACGATAAGTATCATATATAAATTGAGATAGAAAAAGTGTGGATGAAACTAAATATGCTCTCGACATTATCAAAATGAGCTAAATTTTTCTCGTATTTTCAAATGATTAAAACTTAATACCCGGTTATATCACGTGTCTCATAATTAAGCCAAAATTATTTTATATAAAAAGATAAATTTGATCTTTTGAGAAAAATCTCGTTCCTCCTCTCTATCGTTTGAAGTTTTTTGCTACAATATTAATTTTGGACTAATATGTAACAAATTAAATTAATGCAATCCTTACAATAATTACCTTCAATACAAAAAGAATACTATAGTTTCTGAAACTTTTACACAGTTGAATAAATAATATAGTGGCAAGTCACATGTGAATACACGTATAATTAAATCTTAGAATAGGTAAATTAATATAAGAATAATATTGACAAGGTCGAAATATTTATAATTTATTTATTATGGTTGGTACATAATCATACATAATTACAAAGACTATCACTATTCACTAGACGTACATTACATATTCACCACAAAAGTATTACTACTACTTATTTTATTTGAGGGTTTGACATTAAAATCTCATATCGATAAATTTCGAGGAAGTTGACGTATCTTTTCTTTGTTATTGATAATTACTATAGATTATACATTTCGAGGTAGTTGACATATCTTTTCTTGTTTTTTTTAAATTTGGAAGTGGAAAATTCAAATTCTACTCTCTTCGTTCCTATTTACAAATCATCTTTATTAAAAGTAGATGTTTCTTAATATTCTCACGTTTTCTATTTACATGTGGTTATTACTAAAAAAATATAGATATTCCCTTAATACTTGCCATTTTACAAAATCAATACATAAACAACACTATTCTTCTTATTTTATCGGTGATAGTTATTAACCTTGAAAGTATGCATTTTGATTAATATAGAAAAATTAAGTAGTTAATTCATGTTCATTGGGTAGATTAATTAATCAAAATAAATTAATTCATGGTCATTACTCATTTATTGAAAACTTAGCTTCGAAAGAACACAAAATAAGGGTACAATGATAAATTTACCTAGTTTCTTAAGGGCATGAAATCTGAAATGGTGACATCTAAATAGAAACAAAGAAAATACTTGTCATTTCACAAAATCAATACATAAATAATATTATTTTTCCTATTTTACCCTTGAGAGCGATGAATATGGAGAAAATCATGTTGGGAGAGTGCCCCTCAAATAGGCCCTATGTTACGTGATCTAAATATATTCAGAACTCGATGCTGGCATCGATCACCGGATAAAAAAAAATACAACTAATTGCTGCTTGCAGAAAATTAGTTTCGAAGTTTGTCAACATCTTTGTATACAAGTTTCTTTAAATTTCCCAAGATTTGCAAAGCAATAGAGTATGAATATTCATATTAATATAATCAAAAATGAAATCAATATATTTATCAACCCTACAAACGAAAATATCTTCAACATTTTTCCATGAATTTTTGACTTTTCAATCTTAGTAAGTGTTGAATAAATGATCAAGAGGATTTTTTTTTTTTTTTTTTTTTGTTGTGTGATAATAGATATGAAGTCGTAGCCAAGAAAAGCCGACAACTAATTAATCAATGGTGGTATTAATTATTTGCTTCAAAAAATAAAAGAAAACATTTCTGGAATTGTTTTTAAAGAAAACTTCAAATAAAAAGTTCAAAAATAATTGTTAGAGAAAAGAATTTTTGGCAATTATATGGATTCTTTAAAGGTGAGTGATCACTTTAATATAATTTAAATAATTTTAGTCTCCTAAATTAATTTTTAAAATTGAGTTAGAATCGAGCCCCTTTTTTTTACTATTACATACTCTTATTTCATTTCAAGTTTGATATAGTAATAAGTACTTGTGAAATGAATTTTTTACAAGAATTTTATTATATTTGCAAGTTGGGAGTTAATTTTTCCCTCCATCTATTTTCACTTGTTAAATTAAAAAATCAATAGATAATTTATCATTTGTATTTATTTATACGATTTATTTTTCAATATACAAATTTATATTTTCTTTATTATATTTATATCTGATTTGGTATATTAAAAATAACATGTATTGCATAAAAATATTTATTTATAAAGATACTCGTCACAGTTATGGTGGAAAAAGAAGTAAAAAAGATTTTGAGGAGCAATAAGGTTTTTAAGCGTGTTAATGTATACGTTAAAATCTATTACATTACTAATACCTAAAAATTCATGATATTAATAATACATACTTTAGTACACAATAAAATATATAAAATATATAACTAATATTTGTATTAGTTAAATATAACATGAAAAAATATAACAAACATAATATATTAATACAATGAGTTAATATATATTATTTCTACTACGAATACACTCTACCAAACGACCCCTCAACCTTCTAAGAAAAGTAAAAAAAATAAATGTCACATTAAACATGTCCGAAGCAAGAAGACAGTTTCCTCACATTTCAACACTAATTTCCTCTAATAAATATGTGATTTCCAAGAAATCAACAAAGTCTCTATCTTCTAATCAAACAAAGTTAATGGCTCGCTTCTTTTTCATCGTTATCTCTTATCGTAATTTCAATTTAAAGAAAATTCATATTTTTTTATCGAAAAATTATAATATTTTATAGATATGTCAAATGATTTATGTATATATAATAGTCTACAATATATGTTAGTTTTTAATCACTAACAGTTTCTTTGTATACTTACTTTCTTATATTTTAAATTCTATCGGTAAAAAAATTTAACCACCTAAATATCCTTTCTTTATTTTTTTTGATTCTTCATGATATACTTTATATTTTAGGAAAAAGACTCATATGTTCAATTGAACTTCCGATGAAAATACTTGTTTATGTCATTTATTAATAGTTAGATTCAATTATGTCATTACAGGACTTATTCGGAGCATTGTTTTTAAACGAACATGTTTGATGGTTTTGCGTTGCCTCTTATTAGAGGTCCCCATCACCAAAATTCAAAATGGTCCAAAAAAAAAAAGATAGTATACACAATTGTTCGTGATTTAAGAAAGAAGTTTTTGTGTAGGAGTGACTTTGTGAGATAATAGGCAAAACATGAATGATTTTATAGTTACAAAAAGTCACAATGTAATAAACTCATTGCACCTAGCTAGAATCGTGTAGACGATTCAAAAGTATACATGACACATTAATGCCTATACGAAATTACTGATACTCGAAACTTAAAAAGATGATAGTATATTTACAATATGATTATACTCCATGATTGAACTCAACCTGGATAACATAGCGCATTCTTATTTGCTCCACGTTGTAAACTATGAATTCATTATACAACAAACTACCCTGCAAAAATATTTAAGACAATGTTTAGTATATATGGGGGACTAGGCAGCAGAAAAGGAAGTTCATTTTAACACAAAAAGTAGAAATGTATCATTCATAATTTCACAATCACAAACTTAGTATGCATATAATTGTTTCGAGAAAAGGGAATCGTGAAGTAAAAATGATGTCATAAACAGGAGTAGAACGAACCTGCTTTCGTTGGTTCTTTGGATTTCCCAAAGGAACAATGACACCATCTTCAAGTATTTGAGATGCTTTAGGATCTGGGGCCGTGGCACCGACTCCTTTGGTGCTGCAATGTCAAGAATCATGATATTCCGATGAATCATTCATTTCCAGCTCAAAACAGGTTGCCCTATATCTAAAGACTACAGTTCTCTTCTTTCTTTTGTTGTATTTTGAGTTGAGTAATAACATAATACGTATGAGAAGAATGAAACCTTAGCTTTCCCGAAGGCAACTTATCAGCATCGTAGTTTGCTGACAGCAGCTCATTCATTTCACCAAGAGCAACCTGTAAAGGAAGTAGAAATGTCGTTAATTTCTGGACTGCAGGGGCCTCCCCTCCTGTTCAAACCTTGAAACGGAAAACATGTGAAGTGGCAAACTAGATATAGAGAGATTGTGGCACACTAAAGGAACAACATAAAAAAAATGAGAGGGGACCAAGACTTGGGCTGGATTGAAATGCTAACCAACCTCACACAACAGAAGCACACCATTCTTAGCAGCAGAGGAGGAATAGCAATAATTTGCACTTTTGGAGAACATATCAGCAAAATAAACACCTTTCCCAAACATGTACCCTGTTGAAGGTGCTTCTGGAGGAGCAATTCGTAAACCTAGTGTATCAAGCAGGAATCAATCATTAGGTAATTACAAGATGACGTAAAACATGCTTGAAGAAATTAGAACAAGAGAATAAGCAAACAACCCTGTGAAAGAATGCCAGCCCAGTTTGTGAGGCGAGAACCATGCCATAAAAGCATCCTATTACTCGTATCAGAGAACTGCTTCCAGAGAATTCACAGATTTTACATCAGTATTGGGTAGAAGTAGTTATGTTAATAAAATAGAAAAAACTGTTGTAAGGAATTTCATAAGACTTTGGAGCTCACCTTCTGGAATCTTTCAGTTTCACCATCTCTTGATGCCCTAAATACTTGAACAATATCGACAGCATAACCAGAATGTGTTTTTGCATGGGTATTCTTCATGTAACTCTCAATCTGAACAAAAATAACATCACTCAGCTTTATAAATTTCCAGGATGAATAATGATCTGAGACAAAAATCAATTATATTAGAAGACATGACGTGCATGGACCAAATGAACAAATAAATTCACAATATTCATACTTGTCATGCTGATCAATACTCTGAATAAGGAAATACAATACTCAGAAGATAAAGGCCAAGACGTAATAGATCCATCAAAATCTTTTTCATACCATGAGAAACTCTTGGGAACCGACTTCAACTGGAACAAGTTTGCAACGAAGTTGTTCATATTGATAATACAAGGGATCCTCCTACAAGAAGATGATGCCAATTCTGAGTCATATCTTAATCATCAAAACAGTTATTGTGTGCAAAAGCAAATTAAATTGTGTTAAATGCCAATCTCTTGGAACATAGCTTCAACCAAAACCATTTTTATTATTTCAAAGATAAATCAAAAAATAATTTCACTGATGCACCAAAATGGAGCCAAAAATTGTGGTTTTTATTTTTACTTTTGAGCTTCCAAAATATTTATCTATACTCTACAGAATGTTCTTTTCGCACCAAAACTAAAGCAAATACTTTCAATGAGACTTGGCAAAGCAGTACCTGTATATCTGTGTTATCCTCCAATAACTTAGTTGCGACTTCAATTTCAGCAAGAGCTTCGACCTTTTCGTTTCCAAGAGTTTACCACAGCAATAGGATCAGGTAGAAATAGACAAGCAGCATGAAAATAAATGTAAAAAAGCATTGAAATAAAATACTGACAACAGCTAATTCAACTTTCTAACATATGCTTTGTTAGCTCATGCATACAGCAGGACAACTTAGAACCAACTCATTTGTGAGGGAACACCAACAAACAGTAAATAAGAAATTCATGCTTCTAGATGGACATAACAGTTGATGATGAAACATCAAGTGATCAGTCCGTCCGATTAACTGTCAAAAGCACTACAAAGCAGACAAGTCCACCCCTTTGACTGAAATGCGCACACACAGAGAATAATGATCAGGAGGAAAGAGAAAAGGAGTAAATTTAGAGAAGAGAAAAAATCAGTCACCATTTCAATTTTGTGTTTTAACTTCTGAGGGGTGTCGATGACAAATTCACCTGACAGTAGAAAAATGAGTATATTAGTGAGTTACACAAAAACTAAAAGAACTACTACCATCAACCTAAAGTAACTGAGGGGGAAAAAATGACACATGGAAAAAGAAAGACTGGAGTATCAAGCGAGCAGATGAAGCAGGACAAGTCAAAATGAGACTTTGGGGGGGGAAAGGAACTAAGATGACTTACGCATCTTCTTGAATCCAAAATCATGAGGAATGACTGTATAGAATTGACTGCAACATGAAAATGATGAAAATATCAGCAACCATATATTCATGGCTACAAACAGCTCCTGAAGCTTCTAAAATTCCAGAATGGTAAGGGCTAAGCAAGTGTGCATTGATCATTGACCATAATCAAACAGCTCACAGTAGGAATGAAACAAGCTTACCTGCTCAAATCTTCAAGCAGTCGTCTGTTGGACTGGCCAATTACATCAGCAATATTTTTCAAGACATCATAGCCCTAAACAGAAACAAACTTTTAGTTGAATAGTACAGAGTGATTCTCTTTTTTCTCTCATTTATTAATCTATTTACTGATTCGTTTATGTCTTGGCGAGGGTAGGCTGGACTACCAGAGTACAGAGAACATTATAATATATAAAGGTTCTGGCTTCTGACAACATGCATCCACTTCCTGCTAACTATCTTCTCCCAACACCCTTCAATACTTTTAATCCTCTGTGCATATTTTTCCCATTTCTTCAGCAAATACCTTGTGAAAGCACTCTGCATCAGATTCCAGTCAGGCAATCTAGTAACAAGACTGAAAATTTTCAGCACCCCAGGAGAGCACCAATCAAGACCTCAAGCTTTGATGAGGAAAACTAGTGGGGAGGGAGTAATAAATTTCAGTTTAAGAGAATCTTTACATGATTTGGTATATGCTTCACCGGTTATTTTTCACTCAGGACCACACAGATTTAAATAAATGGAGATAAAACTAAGTAATTCAGAAATGAGACACTAAAGCATAAATCACACATCAGATACTTGCCTTTAAAATAGTTGTCTTGCTCAATTTACCGAGTGGCAACTTGTTAGCATTGTATCCTGTTCAACAATAACAAGAATATTTAGCAGTTACAATAGAAATGACAAATATCAAGATAAGGACCCTTATGGTGTAAATAAAGTGCTAAACCTATTTCCATCATTTGCTGCCTCATCATATTGATGTCGCAAATAAGAGATATGAACTTTGCAATCGGGGCCTCCAGCTTAGTCTCACGAGGTTGACTTTTATGTACTGGGTTGGACTGTCCTTGGACCTAATAAACAAGAATGATACTTCAAACCGAACTGCTTATTCATATGATAGAAAATTGCAAGTTATTGCTTTCACAACTGGACTCAGATGCAACAGCAGAAAGTAGAGCAAAAGAATCTAAGTTGATGGAAAACATAATGAGTTTAATACATCTACACAATTGCGATATAGAGGAATAGGATTGACATCAATGCAGAAAGCCAGAAATAATAAGTTTACTACATGATTGTCCCAATAGAGAACAAGCAACTTAACACAACTTACTGAGGAGTCTTCCCCATTTTCAGCATAGTCCATTTCCAACCAAGCATAATGCTTTGGTTGACAAAAAAAAATCTTTGCGGTTAGACCAATCGTTCTTGGTCTTATCATAGAATTTACTCTCAAACTCAGATGTGGCATCATAGGCAGACGTGTAGGGACCACTAATCTTTGTTCCACCCTTTGCACCAACTCTACCCCATCTAGTATAAACAAGGAAATTACCACCACTATCATTCTCTGCAATCAAATGAATAGAATCAGGCCAAACAAATATGGAGAAGGGTAAGACATGATGTAAATATCAGCAAGTTTCAAATATGTAAGAATTCTCAGTTGTTTCTAGAACATGATGAACCAAATACAATATTCATAGTTGTTCTCAGGGTGGGCCCACCATCAGAATTAGTCAGATTTCTCAGATGATTTAGCGACCAATTAGCAGGAACAATTTATTATGGTATATATTGCTACCATAGCATAGAAAACCATTTTAAAAGGAAAGCAAGGCAACCAGGCAGTTTGCTTCCAACAAATTAAGATGTATATGAGGCAACAAATGGGAATCACCTAGAACTTGAATGATATAAAACTTGTTATTGTTGTTCCCAACATTTGTTTGGTTCAATGTGGCATCATAAATATCATTGCCCTGCAGATCAACAAGAATTCATTGAAATCTGAATGTACTTATTAGACAGATAAGAGGGAAAAGGAGCAATGCAAACACTTCTTTGCAGCCAGAAGCAAAAAGTTTCTAAAAGACTTACTTGTTGCAGGACATGGTACCGTTCTTTGATGTCATCTGACAGGTATTCATCCAAAACAGCTGCACCCTTCTTTGTTGCTGTGACCAATTTCTCTATCTCGCATTCACCTCCGACTGCCAAAATTTATTAACAGTAAGCAAGACACGATCATTTCTCACTAAAAAGGGATGAAAAACACAACCAAATAGATAGCGTAAATAGTCAAGTTAGTTTCAGCCTAGACTGTACCACTAAGTGAAAGCAAACCACTTTACTACATTTCTGTGTTAATCAGTATAATATAATGCATTATTACCGTTCTGTAGCATTAACTACTCTAGTATACACCCGTAATTACAATCTACTGTTAAAAGCTTCCCAAAGAGTTCAATTCTACTTCGTATAAAGCTACTCCCTAAGTTTCACAATTAGTCACTTTTGATTTAACCGATACTTGAGTTGATCATAGATTAATCCACTTTGCAAATAGGAAGTTAGACCTTGTGGGATCACACTAGTATGTTGTTGTTGTCGTCATCATCTCAAATTGACAAGATATTCATATACATAAAAGTTATTGGTCAAAGCCACTTTCTTTTGCAACAAAATAGATAAAATTACAGGACGAAGTAGAAATTAAATGTGAAAGGTTAAATTAAATTATAATACAAGACTATTTTTAGTTTCGACTCCACAATGCACTCAAGCATCATCAATAGCAGTCAGAGAAAACATAATCCTGCAACAAGTGCTAAATCAACATAAATTACTCCTCCCTTGGTCTGACTAATTGTTAAGAGTGATATTTCACTTAAGATCTCCAAATTTTAGATAGAATTCCTATCAAAGAAACTAAGTTTAGGTTCCCAAAAAAAGGAAGTTATACTAATGAATAAACTGATGGTTAAGGAAGATGCACATCAAGGTGGAAAATGGAGAGTGTTGTCTTTGTGACACACATGAGTTTGAGTCAGCTGACCCTTTATTTGCTCGATGTGTATGGACGCAGAAAGTAAAGGAAGCAATCATGCAGTGGACTCACATACATATACAAGCAACTAGAATTGATCAGGTACTACTGGAAATTAACAGGAGGCATTGGAGTAGAGCACAGAAAGAAATAGTGGCTGCTCTATGGGGGGCAATGGTATATCACACTTGGAGAGCGAGGAACTGGAAAATATATAGAGGAGTAAATGTACAAAATGAGCAAGTTATAACACAGATCAAACAGGAATTCATAGACAGATAGGTAGATTTCAGGAATCAAAGAAATTGTATAAATGTAGGAATTTCATTCAAGCTTCAACTGGTAACTAGCTGTGAGGAGAAGTGGATAGATTAGGTGCTCTGTGTTGTTAGGTGATTAAAGTTGTTTGTTATCAATTGTAATGTTCACAGTTGTTACCAAAAAAAATGAGGGTAAAATTGGAGCAATTTGTCCACAGCAACAATACTACTACAGTGTACCTCCAAGATCATCTTTTGAGTCGTTTTTCTGTGAATCAGCACCATCACAAAGCCTCTCAACAAGTTCTTTCTTCGACCCAGTACTTGAAATCCCACGAGAAGTAGCTACCTCCCTTAACTCCTTAACACTCATTTTCTTATACTCCTCCACATCATTCATTTTCACTGACCCAATTGAGTCAGAATCAACCCTCGACCTTTTCTTATCACCATTCAATTTCTTCTTGTTTTCCTCCTCCTCCACCTCAATAGCCTCTTCCAACCTCTTTACCTGCAATTTCCCCAATGTGGGTACTCAATTCAAACCAGTAAAATAACAAGCAATAGATGCAATTACTGCCAACTATAGGTACTAACCAGTATAGGTTTGGTTCCTGTGGTATCAAGACCGCGACTTGAAAGCTCCTTACGAAGTTCATCTACTTTAAGCTTGGTAATGGTGGCCATTGTCTGAATGTTTTCAGTGCTGAGAAGTTGCAGACGATTGAAAACTAGTTATATACTTTTTAGTAGTGAAGGGGAAAAGCTTGTTAAAGAAGATTGTTGGAACAATTTGTGCAGCGCACGATTTAGCGCGGGCCTCCTTTCAGACTTTTGAAGTAAAGAAATTGAAATAGTTGAGTCTTCCCTCTATAGTTTCTCTCGCACAATTTATATTTTCATTTCGAAATGTTAACTCCATAAATTTTCGGAAAACTTTCGCAAATAGTCACTATAATAAATCTAATTATACTCGATAGTTATAGTTTGCATATTTACAGGTTGTAGTTACAGTTTAAGTTCTTTCGTTTGTATAATTCGCAGATTTGTATAATTCGCATGTTTATATAATTTGCGGGTATATTTGTATGATTCAGTTATTTTTGTATAAACTCGAAATAACTAATTTATACAATTACAAACATCAAAAATGTAAATAGTTACACAAATTCCAAATTATACAAATTATATTATACAAACATATGAATTGTACAAAACTAAAAAGTTGAGCTGCGTAATTATAGCTAAAAGTAGATTGTGAATTGTAATTAAGACAAACTATAGTTATGTTAATTAATTAACTAGTATATATTTATTTACACGCGTTATTTTCTCAATATTAAATTGATCTAATCTAATTTAGCTTTTTAGTTAATATAAATCTTTAAAAGTAAAAAGTACCACAAATAAATTAAGATGGAGAAACTAAGTAGTTGAAATTAAAATATGCTTTCAATGTTACCAAAATGATCTTAATTTACTCGTATTTTCAAATGACTAAACTTGATACCAATGATGTCACATGTCCCCCAATCATGCCATAATTTTATTCTATACAAAAGGAAGATTTGATCTTTCTCCCTATACTAGTTTGCTTTTCTGTTTTGATTGAGGCAGCCCTCCATCCTACATAGAGGGAATGAAGGGTGGTGCTCACAGATTGTAAGTGGTTTTTTTGTTAATAGATATATTCACATTGTTTGCCAAATTTTTTTTTTAATAATAATAAATATGTTAGCGAACTTTATATGAGATTAATTTTGAAATTTTCTATGAGATTAATATATTTTTAAAAATGTTTTCAATTATATTTTGAAGAGGATGCTTTTATTTTTATATGAATAAATGTAATTTCAACAACAACGTATTCTACCATTTAAAAAAAAGCTATAGCCTCAACTATCAAACATCACAAAAGAGTACAAATAACACAATTATTAATATTCAATAGACTATGCGATTTTACCTTTGTTTACCAAATAAAAAATGGTTAAAGATAAAATAAAATTTTTGATCAGATTTATAGATCAATACTAGATATAGGACCCCGTGCCAGCACGGGGCCCAATATATATATATTTTAATTTTAATTTATGTCATATTATGGAATTTGAGAAGTTATTGAAATTTTTATATAATTTTAAAAATATTTTAAATTTTTAGCTATTGTGATTTGTAGTACTTTTTTTTAACATAATTTTGAAAAAAATATTTATTACTCTGTTTGTTCTAATTTATGTGGCACACGCAGAATTTTAAATATTAAGCATTTTTTATATGTCTCTTTAATATATTAAGTTGTTAATTATTGTATTTTATTGTACATTTTGAACCTAATTTTTTAATAATATATGTTATTTGCCATGTCCCAATTTATGTGACATTAATTGATAGATTTGTTGGAGTCGAGAGATTTATTTTGTTAATTATTGTAATTTATAGTTTTTTTTTCCGTCAATTTCAAACAATATATGTTGTTAATTGATAGAATATTTTTAATGTAATTTTAAAAAAAAAATATGTGTGACTCTCCATGTCCCAATTTATGTGGCACATGTAAAGTTTTGACAATTAACCAAAATTTTAATACATTTAAAAAAATATTTTTAAGTCATTAAATTTTAAGTAATAAGTAATTTAAATTGTTGTATTATTTATTACAATTTATAATACTTTTAAAGTAGTTAAAATATTGTACAATTTATTATGATTTATAACACTTTTTTTAAAAATTTATATCATATTATGGAATTTGAGAAGTTATTGAAATTTTTATATGATTTTAAAAATATTTTAAATTGTTAGCTATTGTGATTTGTAGTACTTTTTTTAACATAATTTTGAAAATAATATTTATTAATCTATTTGTTCTAATTTATGTGGCAGATGCAGAATTTCAAATATTAACCTTTTTTATATGTCTCTGTAATATATTAAGTTGTTAATTATTGTATTTTATAGTACATTTTGAACCTAATTTTTTAATAATATATGTTATTTGCCATGTCCCAATTTATGTGGCATTAATTGATAGATTTGTTGGAGTCGAGAGATTTATTTTGTTAATTATTGTAATTTATAATTTGTTTTTCGTCAATTTCGTCGACTATTTTTTTTTATTAATTATTGTAATTTATTGTTTCTTTTTCGTCAATTTCAAACAATATATGTTTATCATATAATCCATTTTATGTGGTACCAATAGAATTTAGAGAGTCAATTAAATTTTGTATATAAGTTTTAAATAATTAAGTTGTTAATTATTGTAATGTATAGTATTACTTATAGTATTTTTAAATATATTTAAATATTATATGTTAGGTTTTTTATCCTAATTTATATGGCATTGATAGAATTTAAAGTGTCAAATAATTGTTAATTATTGTAATAGATAATATGGAGTATTTAAGTCATTTATAGTATAGTATAATTAATATATAATATGTAGTATTTAAGTGTTATATTATGGAATTTGAGAAGTTATTGAATTTTTTATATGATTTTAAAAATATTTTAAATTGTTAGCTATTGTGATTTGTAGTACTTTTTTTTTTACATAATTTTTAAAATAATATTTATTACTGTATTTGTTCTAATTTATGTGGCACATGCAGAATTTCAAATATTAACCATTTTTTATGTCTCTTTAATATATTAAGTTGTTAATTATTGTATTTTATAGTACATTTTGAACCTAATTTTTTAATAATATCTGTTATTTGCCATGTCCCAATTTATGTGGCATTAATTGATAGATTTGTTGGAGTCGAGAGATTTATTTTGTTAATTATTGTAATTTATAGTTTCTTTTTTGTCAATTTCAAACAATATATGTTGTTAATTGATAGAATACTTTTAATGTAATTTTTTTAAAAAAATATGTGTGACTCTCCATGTCCCAATTTATGTGGCACATGTAAAGTTTTGACAATTAACCAAAATTTTAATACATTTAAAAAAATATTTTTAAGTCGTTAAATTTTAAGTAATTTAAATTGTTGTATTATTTATTACAATTTATAATGCTTTTAAAGTAGTTTAAATATTGTACTATTTATTATGATTTATAACACTTTTTTTAAAAAATTTATGTCATATTATGGAATTTGAGAAGTTATTGAAATTTTTATATGATTTTAAAAATATTTTAAATTGTTAGCTATTGTGATTTGTAGTACTTTTTTTAACATAATTTTGAAAGTAATATTTATTACTCTATTTGTTCTAATTTATGTGGCACATGCAGAATTTTAAATATTAACCCTTTTTTATGTCTCTTTAATATATTAAGTTGTTAATTATTGTATTTTTTAGTACATTTTGAACCTAATTTTTTAATACTATATGTTATTTGCCATGTTCCAATTTTTGTGGCATTAATTGATAGATTTGTTGGAGTCGAGAGATTTATTTTGTTAATTATTGTAATTTATAGTTTCTTTTTCGTCAATTTCAAACAATATATGTTGTTAATTTATAGATTTTTTGGAGTGGACTATTTTTTTTATTAATTATTGTAATTTATTGTTTCTTTTTCATCAATTTCAAACAATATATGTTTATTATATAATCTATTTTATGTGGTACCAATAGAATTTAGAGACTCAATTAAATTTTTTATATAAGTTTTAAATAATTAAGCTGTTAATTATTGTAATGTATAGTATTACTTATATTATTTTTAAATATATTTAAATATTATATGTTAGGTTTTTTATCCTAATTTATATGGCATTGATAGAATTTAAAGTGTCAAATAATTGTTAATTATTGTAATAGATAATATGAAGTATTTAAGTCATTTATAGTATAGTAATTAATATATAATATGTAGTATTTAAGTGTTATATTATGGAATTTGAAAAGTTATTGAAATTTTTATATGATTTTAAAAATATTTTAAATTCATAATTATATATTTCAATGTACAAGATTTTGATAAAATAAAATCTTTAAAGTTAAATTATAATGTTTTTGAAATTTAAATTATTAAAACATATATAATGATTTTATAGAAAAAATAATATCATATAAATTAAATGAAAAGGATAATAAATTCAACTTTTACCATGATAAGGTTGAAAAATATTATTTAAGTGGAAGGAGGTGGGGCCCACTTATATATTTTATATAGTAAGTATTGGACATTTGTAATGATTTAATTGGGACAATGGTAGTAAATCCTAGACTCTTCTAATATATAGTAATACTCCATCTGTTACCAACGACTTGTTTAATTTTTCTTTTTTCATTTATTTATTTTGACAAATCAAGAAAGGACAAAAAAAATTAACATATTTTTAATTATTTATTTTGAAAAAAGTAGAACTTCTTGAAAATTTTAAATTTTTAATTCATCTATTTCATAATTAATAGAAATAAAATGGTAAAACTCACTATATCAATAATTATTTTCTTAATAGGTATGTCAATTCAAAAGTGGACAAGTAATTAGGGATAAAGGAATTACAATTAATGAGTGATTTCTTTCAATACAAAATGAACTCTGTGATTTCTCAAAATTTTACATACTCGAATTGTAATCTTGATGTAATAAAATAAGAAATACTGGCAAATTAAGAGTATTGGTGTGTGTATTTTGCACTTGAATTCACGTATAATTAAACCTTGGAATAGGTCAACTAGGAATAATATTGACTAGATCAAAATATTCTAATTTATCCTTCTGTTAACCATAATTACGAAAACTATCAATACACGCACATTACATATTCATCTCAAAAGTACTACTACTACTCACTTTATTTGAGGGTTCAATATTAAACTTGATAAATTCTATAGAAAATATATTTTTAGGTAGTTGA